AGGGACAGCGCAGGAGAGGAAGGCCCTCTATGAGGTGGATTGATTCAGTGACTGGGATAATTGGGATGGGAGTGTCAGAGACAGTGCGTTTGGCACAGGACAGAGTGGAGTTTATGGCTGTTGTACATAGGGTCACAATGAGTCGCAAGCAACTCGATGACACATAACAACAACAACAACATAGGCCAATATATCTTATGAACACAGATTCAAAAATCCTGAATAAAATCCTGGCCAGTAGAATCCAACGATTCATAAAAAAATAATTCACCATGACCAAGTGGGATTCATAACACGTATACAAGGATGGTTCAACATGAGAAAAACAATTAAAGTAATTCATCATATAAACAAAGCAAAGAACAAGATGCACATGATCCTATCAATTGATGCTTACAAGGCCTTTGATAAGATCCAACACGCTTTCCTGATTAAAACACTCAACAAAATAGGATTAGAGGAGAATTTCCCCCACATAGTAAAAAGTATATATGAAAACCCAAGAGTCAACGTTGTTCTCAATGGAGAGAGATTAAAGGCATTCCCATTAAGAACAGACCTATGCAAGGATGCCCACTAGCCCTTCTTTTATTCAGTACTGTATTGAAAGTCTTAGTGGTAGCAAAAAGACAAGAGAAGGGAATAAGAAATATCCAAATTGGCAAAGAGGAGGTAAAATTATCTCTCTATGCAGATGATATGATAGTATACTTAGAAAACCGTAAATATTCAGCAAGAAAATTACTGGAAATAGTTGACCAATTCAGCAAAGTGGCTGGATACAAGATCAATATACAAAAATCAGTTGAATTTCTCTACAGTGACAAAGAGAATGCAGAGCTGGAGCTAAGAAAAACAATACCTTTCAAAATTGCTAATCACAAGATTAGATACTTGGGAGTAAATCTAACCAGAAGCACAAAGGATCTATTCAAAGGAAATTACAAAACATTATTACAAGAAACAAACAGAGACCTGGAGAGGTGCTCACAGATAGGAAGACTCAATATTGTGAAAAGGACAATAATACTACTAAAGGCAATTTACACATTCAATGCAATCCCAATACAAATACCAATCCCATTTTCAATGAGATGGAAAAGGCAATCTCCAGTTTCATTTAGAATAGAAAGAGGCCCTGAATAAGCAAAGCATTCCTTAAAAAGAGAAACAAGGTAGGAGGCATCTGGCTCCCTGATTTCAAATCCTACTACACTGGCTTGGTGGTCAAGATAGTGTGGTGCTGGTACAATGACAGACACAAAGATCAATGGAATAGACTTGAGAAACCAGAAATCAGCCCATGTACCTATAGTCAACTGATTTTTGATAAGGAGATGAAATCAGTTAAGAGGGGAAATAACAGCCTTTTTAACAAATGATGTTGACAAAACTGGAAAACTACCTACAGAAAACTCAAGCAACATCCATACCTTATTCCATACACAAAACCAACTCAAAGTGGATCATGGAACTAGGACTAAAACCAAGGAATATAAACTTCATTAAAAAAAAAAGCTTGGAAAAACTCTCGAAGTCCTAATCCACAACATAAACAGTCTTCCAAGCATTCTGAAAATTCTGCAATCAAGAGAGGATAAAATAGATGAATGGGTCCTTCTAACAATCAAATGCCTGTGCACATTAAAAAAACTTCTCCAACAGGGTAAAAAGGAAGCCACAGACTGGGAAAAAATATTTTGTAATGACATGTCAGATAACAGACTAATACCTAGAATTTATAAAATACTCGAGCACCACATCAAGAGAAAGGTAAATAACACAATTGAAAAATGGGCACAGGATATGAACAGAAACTTCACCAAAGAAGACATTCAGATGGCAAACAAAACACATGAAGAAATATTAAAGATCTCCAGCTCTAAGAAAGATGTAAATCAAAACAACTATGAGATATCATCTCACAACAGTAAGAATAGCAAAATTTAATACAAGAGCAAACAACAAATTCTGGCAAGGTTGTGGAGAAACTGGAACCCTTATTCACTGTTGGTGGGAGTGTAAAATGGTGCAACCACTGTGGAAGGGCAATATTGTGCTTTCTCAAAAAAAAATGCAAATAGATACACCATTTGACCCACAATTCCACTACTGCGAACATACCCCAAAGAAACCATAACCACCACCCAAACAGATACATGCACACCTATGTTTATTGAGGTTTTGTTCACAATAGCAAAGAGTTGGAAACAACCTAAGTGCTCATCAACAAAACAATGGCTAGAGAAGCTGTGGTATAGTCATACAATGGAATACTACACTGCTTTGAAAAACAAGGAACTCATGAAATAGTATATAAAATGGGTGTCCTTGGAGGACATGCTGAGTGAAATATCTCAGTCACAAAGGGACAAATACTGCAGAGTGCCACTGTTGTAAAATGGAACTGACATCAGGGTTGGGGAAGACTGAGAAAGATGGGATAAATTATGTATACTGCATCAAAACAGATGAGAAAGAACTGTTTAAAAGGGGTTTAAATATTAGGTATTATTGTCATGACAGGAGTCCAGAACAAAGACTCCATAACGGAATGAACTTGGGGGGAGTGATTGTATAACAATGAAAGAATTTTTCTTTTACTTTTCAAAGAGAAGAGCGAACTGGAGGTGGGGAGGGAGAAAAGTACAACAATTAATGAATGGAAATCCAAAATCTCTGTAAACTTTCATTAAAATTAATGATAATTTAAAAAAAGAAGAAAAGTGGAGAATCAAAACAGGGATGAATATCCTTATGGAGATGGATTGATGCAGTGACTGCAATAATCATCTTGAGTACAGCAGAAACTGTAATCATGACACAAGATCAGGAAGGGCTTTGTTTTGCTCTACAAACAGAATAACATAGTTTGGTTGCTATGAATTTATAGTTTTAGCACTCTAAGTTGGAGGCGAGTTGAAGACAAGTGGCAGGGGAGATGTGTTAATCACAGGGTCACACAATTTGACGGGAGGAAGGGAGGTGAGTAAAGGAAAGTGGAAAGCTCTAGTGTGAAAAACAACTTATACAAACTTTGTAAGTAAACCAGTATAAAATACAAAGTTTATTTTAAATTTAAAAAAGGGAAAAAATAAACGTAGGTATCCCACAACCACTTATTTAAATTTTAGGTAAAAATTTACCATAAATGTGAAGTTTTATTTGCAAGCTTTTAAATTTAGTGATTGCACTATATATCTGTATCACATAATTTTGACTGCCACAGTTTTTTAGGAAGTTTTGAATTCAGCAATTATGAATTCTTTAATTTTGTTCATTTCCAAGACCAGTTTGGTTATTCTGAGTTCACTGCATTTCACTGTAAGTTTTAGGCCCAGCAACATATTTCTGCAAAGAAAATAGTTGAAGTTTTGATGATGACAGCATTACACCTATAGATCGACTATGGCAGTACTTCTATCTCAATAATATTGCATCTTTTACTCCATAAGCATGTGATTATCTTCCCATTTATTAAAGTCTCCTTTGATTCACTTCAAGGGAACTCTAGTGGAGTAGATCACAGGGAGTTGTGCTGCTAACCTAAAGATGATGCCTCTCTGGTGGTTCAAATCCACCAGAGGCTCTGAGAATAAAAGATGGACAGTCTCCTCCAGTGAGATTTACAACCTCTAAAATCGACTAGAGGAACTCCAGTCAGTTCTGACTCAACAGTAATAAGTGAGTTAATTAAATTCAACATGCTTTGCAATTCCACAGTGAAGTTTTTCACTTTTTAAATTAATTTATAAAAATTTCATGCTTTCTGATGGTATTGTGAATAAAATTATTTTCATAATTTCATTTTGAATGTTCACCACATTTGCAGAGAAATACATATGACTGCTGATTGCTAAGTTTAAATTCAGAAACTGTATTGAAAAACTTTTAATTATACTAATATTTTATGCATTCCTTAGGATTTTCTAGATAGTGGGGAATATAACCTGAGGATTATATTCTTTTAAAAATTATTTACACATATCAGTATAAAATTAGAGTAACTTTTTCATGGGCCTAAGGGGTTTTTTAGGGGGAAGCAAAAAGTCAAAAGAATTTTCAAGTTTATCTACAAATTCTCATCATTCCATTATCCTAATCCTAGTTTACCCTAACATTTTAAGTCCCAGCAGCACTTACTTTAGAGACCACTCTGGTTTCATCCCAGACTGGATGGAGAACATCTGTACCATTTCCTGATGCTCCTTGGAGATGCTGGTCACAAAATTGGAGGAAGGAGTGGGTACTGGAGTGGTCTCTTTGAGATTAACCTCTCTCATAAACAGCTGGTCATTCACGATACAAATGCTGGAGGAAAAAAGGGCCCTAAGACAGCTGGAAAGATGGACAACCACACAACCTCAGCAATAACTCTATGCCTACTCAGCAATGACTTTCTTTCCATCTCCTACACTGTCTGCTACACAGATTACTTGACTAGTACCCTTTCCCTGTCCACAGAACCTGCCTTTGGAGACATACCTGCCAGCTTTACTAGATGTGTGAACTTACTCCCAACTCAGGACAGTTTCACACCTACCTTTACCCTTTATGACAGCTTGAGGAATGACTATTCTAATTTTCATATTCAGAAGGGGATATTGAGTCACACAGAGGCCGTACAACTTGATGAAGGTCACACAGCTGGTGAATGCTGTGGTGAAAATACACTATTCCTACACCATAGTTAATGCTCTTAACTACCAGCAAAACTGTTCCTGAGCTCTCTTTTAGCATTCTGTCATTGTGGGGAAGCTCTGGTGTCTATTCTGTCACCTTCTCATGCCACAGGCTTGGATGGGTGTTTCCAGGTGGCACTAACCAACAATGCAGCACTTACCTGGAGTTCGTGGCAGGAATGGCAATGAAGACCCGGGTGAAGGCACGAACAGGAGCGTGAGACATTTCTTCCACTTTAAGGACAACAAATAACAACTTTCAGAGGTGCCCATTCTTCATATGCTCACCAGCAGCATTCTCCAGTTAGTCTTACCATCCCATGGTATAGGATTGGGAGAGCAACAACAACAACAAACCCCAATCTCTATCCCTCTTACACAGACACACACAGACACACAGACACACACACACACACACACCACCACCACACCACACCACACACACACACTCACCACCCACTCTGTCAGGTCTTGTGACAAACACTTTGCAAGCTCATTTGCCTCATTTTTCACAGCCCAAGAAATGAGTATTACTTGCTTTATCTGGGTACAAGTGTCCCAAGGTGGCAGTTTGAAGTCAAGTACAAGAGCCATTCAATTCCACAGCCCATGTCCCTAACACTGGGGTGGAGATGAAGCGGACAGGCATGAATGTAAGTCAGATCAGGGTGGGCGCTGGTAAGCACAGAGGGACTAGGAAAAGAAGGGATCAGGGAAGTCTGGAAAATTCTGAGAAGGAGCCTGCCAGGGAGAGGGAGAGTGGAGGACATGAGGAAGGGGACATGGGGAAGGGACTCTACTCACCCTCCTTGAACAATCCATTGACAGTAAAACAGATCATTGTTTCCTAAAGAGAGAGAAACATCTCAGGCTCCCAGAATTCCCCTAATCCTCCCACTCACCTCTATTTAGTGTTCCTGTTTCAGGGAGCAAACAGAAGCTCACCGTCTGCACACACATGTCCATTACAAAGGAGGTAATGTCATGCTGGGTTTTTGGCAGGACACTGAGGGAGTCAACAATGTCATGTTTTGTGTGTCTCAGCAACCGAACCAAAAGGACTGTTGGAGGAAAAAGAAAAATTCAGGAGTTTTTAACTCACCAGTCTCCTTCTATTTACCCCCTCACATTTACTGTTCCACCCAATCTTCTCCCTCACACACATACCAGGATCCTTGCGTTTCTTCATATTCCTACTACTCTTGGCGTACTTGATCATGTTGCTTCTAGAAGATTTAAAAAAAAGGATTTAAGGGGAAAGCTAGTATTTGATGGGGAGTCAAAGGGCCCAGGGCTGCCATCAGGTCTATGATACTCACGGGGCAGGGTCCTCAGGGTTGAAAGGAATGGTCAGCGAGAAGCAAGCCTCATTGTGGTAAGCATTCAGGAGATCATGACGGTCCCCAAAGTCATAAACCCAATAGTACCTGTGAGGAAACCATGGGGAAAGATCCTTTGAAGTTTAGTTTCCTGAAGTGATTTGAAATTTGTCCCATAAGAAGGTCTCTATCTGGAAGTCTTGAATTGTCTCAGCACTCCATGCCCCAGGGCCCAAGGGGTACTTACTGCCGCAGGAATTGCAAGATTAAATTCTTCAGGGCCTCAGATCCTTTATAGGTTTCCTAGAATTAGAAGATGTTGGGATTATGAGACTGAAAAAGCCTCTTAACATATCAAATTTTGCTTTGTACTTCCAACTCACCTGGCTGGGTTTCATTACTTCAGGGGCTTTAGTTTCAACATTAACTTGTGGGACTAACTTATGACCATCCTGGGAAATAAAAGAAGTTAGTATTGTAGACTATGCAAGTTACAGTGGACTAGAAAAGGTGAAGGTGAAGTGGTCTAGAAAAGATTAAGGGTCAGTAAGAAGTCAGGCCATCTTAAGATGGCCCTCAAAATTCTATAAGCCAGACTAAAGTCAGTGGCTTTTCTTTGGAGCCTGGAGATGTCAATTGTTTTATACATGTGTGTATGTATGCACAACTGTGTACAGATGTATATCTGTGTTTATGGGCATTTTTTTACTTTTTTATTATACTAGTTTATTTACAAAATTTGAATACATTGTTTTTCAGAACAGATTCTAGACAATAATGAAGTTAAGCACTTACCAAGAACAGTAACTTCGGAAAACAATTTCGGATGGCACTGTCCAAAAGCAAAAATAGGAAGAAGTATTTGAGCAACAATAAGAAGTTCTGCATTGAGATACCTGTGATAAATTAACCTAATGATATCATGACCAGAACTCAAGAGTATTCTGCCTGTTCAGCAGCCCCCAAATCTACAACATTTGGCCTGAGTTCAGCAATATTGGGTTCCTACATTTCCTACAGAGCACTGGACATTCATCATGTGGACTATTCTGGAGGCACAGTTTCTCCACTTCTCTCTCCATATTTCTCCCTTCTTTCCTTCCTCAGGATGCTCCCATGAGGAAGGCCCTGATTCTCTTCTCCAGTGACATAGAAGTAGCATATAGAACCAAGCTCAAAGGATTTCTTTTCCTCCTCCTTTCTCTGCCTTTTTTCTCCCTCACTTATCTCTCTCCAAGCCCCAAGGAAGGTTCCAAAAGAGAGAGAGATTGAAGTGGGTTCCAGAACTCTACTACCTCACCAGATGTTCAGTGCTTTGGCATGCCTGCACTTGGCCAGTACCCAAGGACTGCCTTGGCTAATAGGGCAGGGACATGACTGAGGTAGACTCAGGAAGCTGGAAGGGGATGAAGATAGAAAAAGAGTGAAGGAAGGTAAATGAAAGGACAGATGGGAGAAAATAGAGATTGAAGAAAACAGAAATAAAAGAGAAATCAAGAAAAGACAAGGGAAAGTTTTCTGCAGGTGGTAGGAATGATGGAGAAAAGAGAAGGGATATGACTCCACTTGGGCACTTTCAGGCACATTTCTGGCTACCAGAATCTGAACATCTTCAGAAAGGCTGACAGTGGCTAGTGCTGACCTCACATAGCTGGAATGACTTGAGTGATTGTTACACAATGGGTTTCCTTGAAGCCACAGTTCTTCAAGCTTCAGTTCTTTTATCTTGTCCAACTCCCAGGCTGACTTTAGCTGAGAAAAATGGAGAGGAAATGAGGGATATGAATCTCAGTGAAAGCACCAGATTTGAACTTCAGTATCATACCTCAGTCCTCATTCTTACCCGCATGCATTTTCTTGTCTCTTATTATCACTCTGTTGAACACTGTCACCTACTTTTAACTCAAATTCAAACTGTCTCCCACTTCTTACCTTATTTTTTGAAAGATCAAGGCTTTTTATCTTGGGGGCCTTCTGTAAAATGTCAGACAGGCCATCTAGCTGATACAGTTTGTTGCTGCGCAAGTTCAAGGATAAAAGCTTTTGAAAAGAAGAGTTAAAATGACTGTTACTACCTGGAACCTCAGAGACAAATCTGTAGTTCAATGTACCCTTTCCACTTCAATTCCTAAATACCAGTGCCGGATCTAAGGCTTCACCTCGGGAAAATTCTCTCCAATGATCTCCAGGGTGGCAGCCATGCAGTTTCTTCTATTCAGGATCATGTCAATATCATTGTCTACCAAGTCTTCAAATGGCCAAAATAAAAAAGTCAGAATAGTGAGCTAAACTGTATGGATCAGGAGCAAACCATCCCAAAATTACCATCTCTAAATCTCCCTGCCAAGCATACCCTTCTGACCTCAACTGACCTAAAATTACTGCAATTGGCCTTACCTGGGTCAAAACGAAAACTCTGGAGATCAAGAGCTTGCTGGATGACATCATAGCGTTTGTCCATGGACAGCTGCAAAAGTAGAAAAGGAGGTAGTTGCGGCGGTGGTGATGATGATGGAGAAATAGAGTTGGGGATAAAAGGTGGGTCTGGGCTTGAGCACACAGCGTATCTTTAATTCTGCATTACCTTTAATGTCTTCATTTGTTTTGTACTGAACTTATTCTGTACAGAATGAGGCACAATAGAATGATTGACAAAAATAGATATCTGCAGGAAAGAAAGCAGGGTTAAGTATCAGGGACTCTAATCCTAAAGGAAACATTCCAGCATCTGGTCTGTTTTCATGCCCTCAGATTAGGTAGAGTTAATACCCTTAATACACACCTTTTGATTCTCTTCATCATGGATTTTGTAGTTGACATCCTTCAATGCAGAAGCAGTGTTAACATCCTGGACAAAGAACTGGGCTTGCATTTTTATATAGTGGAACTACAGGTAACAAAGGCAACAACAATGTTTCAGAGGTCAAAGGCAATCCAAACCACTTCCCTTCTCTCTACCCAATCATCTGGTTTTACCATCATCTCTTACGTCAACTGGAGTAAAGGGAACATTACAATGGCTCTGTATGGAATTCAGTAACCAAGTCTTGTCATACTTTCTCCCACAAGGAATCTAAGAGGAAAAGTAAATATAAGAAAGGAGAGTGAAAACATAGAATTAAGATTGGAGGACAGATTCCACTAAGCATTCAGTTCTCCAATTGAGCTTTGAAAGACTTCAAATGGAAGGAAATTGACATGATTTCTTAAATCTGTGTCAAATACTAATTTATTTAAATCCCCTTTCTCTCCACTCAAGTGCTCTTCTCAAAATTATTAAGATTTTTTAATTTTACTTTTATAAGATTCTAGGGGTTCCTATCTAATGCAGCATCTACCTTCTCTAACAAGAATTCTATAAATTCAATCCTCTATAGCTTTTCTTCTGAGCCATACATCAGAGAGTTGCTCTAATTCCTTGGAAAGTGGGTTACTTTTTTTGTCAGAAAGGACAATCTTCTAAGACTTTCTGCAGCCAGCCTTTTTCCTTTTTATTACTTCTTGAAACTTGCCCTTAGATAATTAAGATGTAAACTCCTAGTAATTAAAAGGTCATTAATTAAACTCCTAGTAATTAAAAATCTCATGTTCCCACCAAAGTACCGAGTGTATGTACATGAAACTTAAACAACTTGACTTGAGCAGTTCCACAACAAACTCTCTAATAAACAACGTGCACATTTTTCTAGGACACTCACTGTGATCTTGAACCAGCTTTTGGAAGATTCATCCTGGCAATTCTGCTCCATTTCTTCATTTGGAGATCTTTGATCTCTCCACATAGGTTCACTTTCCTCCATTTCTCTTTTTGAAGAAGTTCTATCTCTCCACACAGGTCTATTTGCTATCATTTTTCTCCTTGGAGATGTTCTATCTCTCTTTACAAGACCACTGCTCTCCATTTCTCCCTCTGATGATCTTTTATCTTTCCAGAAAGTAATATGGATATGATCTCCATTATGCCATCTCACTCTTTTTTTCCCAGGACTGGTAGGGGAAGTGCTATGAAGTAATGAAGAAAAATACTGTGTCCATAAATGTATATAAAGTCTTCTGTACACCCTCACCTGACAGCAGGAATGCAATCATGATTGTTCAACCATTTTTTCACTTAAACCAATTTTCCATTTTCCACTAGGAGAAGAAAAATAGGAATACAGAGTTCAGAGTTACATTGTCCCAGTGGCTGCCTAGTCACTTACTGTCTTACTTGGAGGTCATTGTCAGCATCTTGCATTGATATATTTTCATTATCTTCTTGGAATTGGGAAGACAAACGCTTATGCTCATTATGATCATGATGAATGTTTTCTTCAACACAGTTCTCTTGGATAGAAACCTGACCACTCCTCCTTCCTTGAGAAGTGATAGCATCATCATCATCATTGTATTCTGAAACGGAAAACACAAGTAGACATGGAAAGAAGGATATAAAGAAAGATTTCAGATGGATTTTGGTTGAAAGAAGATAACACTGGAAAGATACAGACTTGGATTTTATTGACTATGCATAGGCATTAAGACTGTGTGGATCATTAAAAAAGTATGGATAAAACAAAATATATGCTAATTAAATACAAGATATACAACTTTTTATATAAACAAATAGAAAATAAAATAAGAAATTTGTGGAAGATGGGAATCCCAGAACATTTGAGTATGTGGAACATTTATAGAAGTGAAGAGACAGTAGTTCAAACAGAACAGGGAGATATTGCATGATTTAAAACCAGAAAATGTGTGCATTAGAGTTTTCTGCTTTCACCATAATTACTCAATCTGTATGCTGAGCAAATAATCTGAGAAGGTGGACAGAGGACAGACACAGTATTAGAACTAGAGGAAAATTCATAAACAACCTATGCTATAAAGGTGATACAACCTTGTTTGAAGCAATTACTGATGAAGATCAAAGACTATATTTCTCATTAAGTATGAATTCACATCAATATAAAGAAACCAAAAATCCTTGCAAGTGGACTGATAAGCAACATTATGATATACAGCAGAGATTATAGGTACCAAGGACTTAATTTTATTTGGACCCACAATCAACACTCATGAAAGCAGCAGCTAATAAATCAAAAGACATTGTATTGAGCAAATCTGCTATCAAGGATATCTTTAAAAGGTTTGGGTTCAAGTATGTATTTTTGAAAACTAAGATGAACTGCACTGAGCAAATCTGCTATAAAGGATCTCTTTAAAAGGTTTAGGAGCAAGCATATAATTTTGAAGACCAAGACGAATTACACTGGGAAAATCTGCTGTCAGGGATTTCTCCTGAGTACTGAGAAGCAATGATGCTTGTCTAGAGACTAAGGTGTGCCTGACCCATGCCATGGTCTTTGCAATTGCTTGCTATGCATCACAGAGATGGACAATGACAGGATGACAGAAGAAGAATTGCTGCCTTTGAGTTATGATACTGGAGGAGAGTCTTGAACATACCATGGACCACCAAGAAAACAAACAGGTCTATCTTAAAGAGGGTAAAACCAAATTTGTCCTTGAAGGCTAGGATTTTGAAGCTCCATCTCACGTGGGCACATGGCCAAAAAGGACATCATGCTCGGAAGGGTACATGGACAGCACAGTAAAAGAAGACCCCAGATAAGACAGATTGATACTGGGGCAATCAGGGTAAGTGTGTTGAAGTCAGTGAGCTGGGCTCAGGACAGGGAAGGCTTCAGAGCTGTTGTGCATAGGGTCACTATGAGTTGCAGGCAACTTGACGGCACATAACAACAAAACAACGACAAGGTGCATCTGACCCTGTTCTGCAATCCCAAAGGTACACAGTTCAAATCTACCAGTTGCTCTAAAGGAAAGGATGGGAAAGCTCCTGCTCACCTTATCATATACAGCCTCTGAAAACCCACTGAAGGGTCAGCTATGGGTCAGTTTGGACTCAAAGATACGCAACAACAACAAATAAGGTGCATCTGACTCAAGTCATGGTATTCTCATTCACCTCATATGTATGTGAGACAATGAATACAAAGGAAAAAAATGATTTTTTTTAAATTTTAGGCTTGGCAAAGAACATGGAAAACTAGAAGAACAAACAAATCTATCTTGGGAAAAGGTTAGCCAGAATGTTCCTTAGACACAAAGATGGTTAGACTTTATCTTACATATTTTAGACACATTTTCAGGAGAAGTCAGTCCTCAGAGAAGGATATTGTGTTTGTAAAAATAGAAGGCTAGTAAAGTAAAGGAATACTCACAACCTGATAAATTGATTTAGTAACAGAAGATAGACTTTGCCTTGTTATGGAGAAACAGCACTACCTACGAAGTGATATTGCTAAAAACCATAAAACCATAAGAGGAAAATGATACCAGGCACCAAGCTGGGTCACACAGGTTAAGAATAACAACATGAAGAGTAAAAAGAGAACCTGTGGATTGGAAAAAAAGCCCTTGGCAATGAAGTATCTAAAAAGGGATGAATTTATAAAATTTATAGAAAATTCAAACATCCAACCATAAAGACAAGTAAACTGATTAAAAACCAGGCAGAAGACATGAAAATGCATTTCATCAAAGAAGACATTAAAAGTCAGTTCTTTATGACCAGTAAACACATAAGAGATACTTGGGCCATCAAGTCATAGTTCACCCTCCAGCAGGTTTTCAGAGACTGTAAATCACACAGGAGGAGCTGGTGGACTCAAACTACATGTCTTTGGGTTGATAGCACAACTGCTTACCACAGATCTGTCTCTAGATACTAGAGAAATGTAAATCAAAACAGTAAGGTATCATCTCACCTTAGCAACAATGTTGTTGTTGTTAAGTGCCATCAATAGCAAAGTTTAATAAAATAGAATAACAAATGCTGCTGAGGGTATGAAAAAAATTGAAACTCTCATACATTGTATGGTATTGTAAAATGGTGCAACCATTGTGGAAAACAGTATGACTCTTCCTTAAAACACTGGAAATAGAGATATTATTTTATCCAGAAATCTTAAAATCAGATGTTGTTGTTGTTAAGTCCCATCGAGTCATAGGCGACTCATAACGATCCTATGAACAAAAGACCTGGACACCTGTATAACTTTCATCCTTTCTCCAGGTTCATAGGGTTTCCGGAGGAAAACTATTGTGAAAGTGGATGACACTCCTAAAGAACTAAGAGCTGTGACACAAACAGATAGGTTGTTGTATTTAGGTGCTGTTGAGTCGAGTATAACTCCTAGTGACCCTCTGAAAAGCAAATTTGAACCAAGTTCTATCCTGTGGCATCTTCACACTTTCTGACACAGTAGGGTCCATTGCGGTAGTGACTGTGTCTATCCACCTGTTCAAGGGTCTTCCTCTCCTTTGCCCACCCTCCACAACTCCAAGCATCATTTCCCTTTCCAAGGAATAACCACTACTATCAACATGCTTGAAGTCAGTGAGGCAAAGTCTTATCATCCTTGCCTCCAAAGAAAACTGTGGCTGTACCCTCTCCAAGACATATTTATTTGTTTTTTTGGATGTCCAGTGCTCTTCTCCAACACTACAGCTCAAAGGCATCAATTCTTCTGTCATCCCTATTCATTGTCCAGCTCTCAGATGAATAGTAAGTGATTGGAAAAACTATGGCCTGAAACAGATGCACCTAATCCTCAAACTGACATAACTTCTCAATAATTTGGAGAAGTTCCTTCCTAACTTCAGACTTTTCCAGTACAATGCAACTCCTTATTTCCTGACTTCTGGTACTAAATGTACCAAATAGATAGAGGCATATGTATCTTAATTGCAGTAGTATCTATAGAAGCAAAGAGGTGAAATAATCTAACTATTCATCAATAGATAAGTGGATATACAAGCTATAGTGCATACATACAATGAAATACCACAAAATATTAAATAATAATAAATATGTTGCAAAACATCACATAAAATGGATGACTACCCACTTAGGACATTATGCTGAACTAAATTCAATATGGATTGAAGCTCAACATCAAGAAGACAAAGATTCTCACCACTGGGCCAACTGGAACACCATATTAGATGAAGATGAGATTGAAGTTGTTAGTAATTACAGCATGCTCAGATTAACAATCAACACTCTTAACACCAGCAGTCAGGAAGTCAAAAGACAAATTGCATTTGGAATATCTGCTGTCATGGACTTCTCCAGAGTGCTCAAGAGCAATGATGTAAGGCTAGATACAAAGATGCACCTAATCCAGGCCATAGTTTTCTCAATAACTTGTTATGATTCAGAGAGTTGGACAATGACTAAGGATGACAGAATGTATGCCTTTAAGTTGCGGTGCTGGAGAAGAGTCTTGAACATACCATGGACTGCCAAGAAAACAAATAGGTCTGTCTCAGAGAGGGTGAAACCAAGTCTCTCCTTGGAAGCTAGGATTTTGACGCTCTGCCTCACTTACTTTGGGTACGTGGCTAGGAGAGATCGATCCTTAGAGAAGGACATCATGCTCAGAAAGATGGACAGACAACGCAAGAGAGGAAGACCCCGGATGAGACGGATTGATACAGTAACTGGGGCAATTGGAGTCGGTGTGTCAGAATTAGTGAGATTGGCTCAGGACAGGGAAGGATTCAAAGCTGCTGTACATAGGGTCGCTATACATTGCAGGCAACTCAAAGGCACATAACAACAATGCCATGCTATGACAGGTTTGGCAGCAGGAGTGGCAGCCACTCCCTAAATAACTTGCCTCCGGAAACTCTATGAACTTTGATAAAGGTTGATAGTTGTAGAGGAGCTTCAGGCCTTTTGTTCGTAGGGTTGCTATGAGTTGGTGCTCGACTTGAAGACAACAACATCAACAACAAATAAGCTAGTACTAAAAAAGATAATTACTGTACATGAACACTACTATAAAAAGCTAAAGAAAGATTTACATACAGAAAGAAACATTCTTGGATGATTATCAAGGATGGTTAAACAATGAGAGGGGAGTAAAAAAGAACTAGATAATGGACACATATTAAGATA